AATTTAATTATTAACTACTAATATATTTTTTTAATTAATTAATAGATTAGTCAATGATATTGAATTTTTTAAAATTCGTGATAAACCTTTAGCACCATTTCTTGCAACTAAATTAACATTAGTAAGAGCAAGATTGTTTTCTAGAGTTGAGATTCCATCTAAATCAAATGAGATGATAAAACTTTGTGAAAATTTTAATCTTGATTCTACTATTCATGATTCTTTTTTTAAAGAAGCATTTCAACTTGCCTTAGACAAATTTGACAAACATATTAATAATAATTCTGCAATTTCAATTTTTAATGCAACTAGATGTTTTGATCCATGCTTTATTCAATTACAACCACAATATTACAACATATTACTTTATAAAGATATAGAAGAATTTAAAAATCCTACAAATGAATTAATTGCAGAATAGAGAATTTATTGTGGGTTGAATGAATTATTTAAAGAAGATTTTGATTTAGATAATTATTGGCAAGAAAAATTAAAAATTTTACTAAATTTATCTAAATTAGCATTAATTTATATTTGGTTACCTATTTCAGGTGTAGATGTAGAGTGTAGTTTCTCTACATATAATAGAATTTTAGCAGATAACAGACAGAATTTGTCTGAAAATTCGATTAGCATGTTGAATTTTTTAAATTTCAATAAATAAATAAATTTTATTATTTGTTTAAAAAAAATCGCATAATTTTACTATCATTTTGTATAATTTTGTGAATGATGAGCATCGGGGGCATAATTTGGACCAATCGCATCGCATAATCTGCCCTTTTATTTTGCATCGCACTGAGGTCCCTAACCGTGAGGAGAAATTAGGGATCTCTGATATCTGATATTGATATTTATGTTATCTCTGATCTTTAAATTTGATTGATGAAAATTTTGTTTATGCATAAAGTAGGATACAACTTACGAGGTACAGGGGTCATAGGAAGAAGTTTGTTTGATTGGTTGATTATGAAGATCATTTTGTAGATCACGATTTTGATTTTAAAAAATATGATTGGTTGTTTTTATATATTACAAATTATTCGATCATATCTAGGATTGAAAAATTACTGTAATTTACGTTATTTATGTAATTTTACGTTAAGTTTCTGAAATCAAAATTGCATGTAATTTTAATTATGTGAATAATTTTTGCAAAAAATTTTTATAACGTTGGTATTAAAAATAAATAAAAATTACAATTCCAGATATCTATTAGTGCATTATTCAATGTAAAGTTACATTACAATTTCGTAGTTACAATGTAATTTATATGAAACGTAACAAAGTAATTTATGTAATACATCCCTAATTATATCATCAAAATAAAAAAATTAAATGTATATTTGAAATAATTTTTTTTATAATTTTTAACCAAATTTACAATTAACTAAAAAACAATAAATTATAATAAAAGAAATTGCCATATTGTATTATCCCAGGGAATTGAAATATCATCAGCAGATTCCTTGGTATCATCATCGTCATCTTCGGGAATATCATCATCATCAGGAATAGAATCAGGGTCTTCGCTTTCAACATTATCATTTGAATCGAGTTTGCATAAGCTTTCCAAAAGTGATTGAACATGCTTGTCAATACCATTGTTAATGTAATCTAGACAATGTAAACATTTGGACCCGTCTTGGCTAAAACACGTATCATAATATGCGTGACCACATGGTAATACCCGACCCGTTTCTTCAGTGAGTGGTAATGCCTGTTCTTTGCTAATAATAGTATTAGTAATACAATTAAACGAATCGCAGCCAGACAAACTAGGCTTATATAAAGCACTATATCCCAAAGGTAAATGACAAAGCCACACTTCCTTCATCTTCATTGCCGAAATAGGAAGACTTTTCATATTGGTATTTACTTCCTTCTTTCTTCTTTTTAGAGGCCGTACCGGAGCTACCTGTGGTGGAATTGAAAATTGAATTTTTTTATATTTGATACAGGTATAAATTTCAGAAAAACAATCAAGAAGAAAGCATGCAGTTTTCCGAGTTAAAGCTTCGATATTTTGGGAAAAATACTGATAAACCGCCCAAGTTGAATTGTGAACAAAGATTTCCTTGAAGCCATCATCATTAAATCATAAATAATTGATGTATTGTGCTTCTTTTATTATTTGATCTGCAGTAAAATACTTCTCTGTACTGTGTCGCAAAAGACTGTGGAAGATTTCTACAGGTGTATCAGAAAATTTCAGCAATTCTGCATGCATCGCCTTTAAAATTGGATGATTTTTGGATTGCTAATAAAAAATATCTGAAAGAAACATTAAGGGCGCTTTAGTATAGTTTTTACAGTGAAATTTAAGAAAAACCACCCAAACATGAAAACAAGATTCAATGTATAAATTGAAATCGCCGGCCCGAAAAAATAAAGCATAAACGTCAAGAACCAATAGAATCATATTATCCAACAAATCTTTGAGTGTCAGATATTCTGCATCTTTGCACATATATCCGAATTTTATTTCAACCATCTTTGCGATTTCTTGCCATGCACTGCGTAAAAGTTCTAATACCAAATTGATGCGCCATGGTTTTGGTTTTAGTGCAAGATTTCTCTTTTAGTTGAATATATATTTGTACATTTCGGAAAAGAATGGTTGATATTGGCAAAATATTAGCTCACGGCTATTTAACGAAATGTGCAAAGGACCTATCATTGGAAGAAATGATAAAACTTTGTTAGCAATTCCAAAAGAGCTACCATGAGTAAGATATTGTGATATAGCTATTCTCAAATGTATTTGACCAGGCCAATCAGCAATAACTGGAATGACATTGCCATCTTCAATATATTTATTTATTGTTGGGAGGGATGCCGCAATATTGATGGCCTTAATGTAAGCTTCCATTGTATGAAGATTGCTCTCAAAAAGATCCACAAGCACAGCATCTTTTAGTGATCTTGTACCCTGTTTTTCTTTTAGGCGAATATCATAACTGTGGACTGTCAATTCTTCTAGCCTGGTTTTATCATCCACAGAACGAAATCCCCAACATCAGTTATGAGAAAGTGAATATGTCGACATAAAATGTTTTTCAATTTCAGCTTTGAGTAGGAAATTATCAACTAATGTAAAATTATGAATTTCTTGCCCCAGTATTGGTGGTTGAGTCTTAATCGGATTAAGTAAGATGGTGATGAGATGTACTAGATTAGATGTCATGGTTGTAGTGGGCATTTTAATGGTATGGATACTATAGTAGTCGTCGATATTTAAAAGTAGCGCGCTATTAGAACTAACTTCAAGGCTGGTCTCCACAGTTACTGAATGCTTTTTAGATATAGAATCTTTATGATAAGTGATTGAACAAGATGTTAATGTTAAACCCATTTTCACCAAGGTGTCTATTATGGAATTAGATATTCCTATAGAATCTAAATACATTCCTAGATCTCTTTTTGCATTATTAACGAACTTATTCCTAATACCACAAATAAAATAGCATAAAAATACCAATTGCTTTGATATTTTTTTCATTGTACTTTTGCTTTTTCTTGATGGATTGATCGATAAATATAGCTCTTTAAAGAAAGACCCCATTCGTTGATCTTTTGACACCATGAGTTTGTGAAGTTCATCAAAATTCCAAATTGGTAGCAGTTCGTCATGTTCTCTTTCGTAAAGAACATCCATCATTATTCCTACAGCCTGTGAAAAAGTTAAAATATTAGAATTTTCTGGTTCATGATCAGAAATTTCTGACTCCTCATCAGAAATTTCAAACTCATCATCACATTGCTCTAATGCATGTTCTCGAAATTTAGTTGCACTTCTTGATATGATTTCATTATAACAGTTCAAGCATATAGTGTCATCTAGTTTAAGATAATTTGGCAAAGTATTGTTAGCTCGACCCTTAGAAATAACATTTTCAGTTACCCTTTTCCATCTTTTTGATGTTTGATCCCCACATATAGTAATGGCACAAGGTCCTGTATGTAATGTTTTTGGCATTTTTGGCTTCTAAGTAAAGTATGTCAGTTTGTAGATTTTTTTTGAATTCTTTTGCATAGTGAACGTTGGCACTCTTCTAAAGCTATTAATGATATTTGTGATGAATTTTTGTTAGTGAAACGTTACATTCTTAAAAAGTACTTTAAACAATATAAATAAGTTACCCAATCAATTGATCTACGTCAGCCAATCAGACGAATTTCTTCCTATGAGTACAGGGAAGAACATCCCAAATATGGAAATGATTCTGATATGAGTTACACAAATGCATCAACCAATCATGCTATGAGTTTACACAAGTCATCTGCATGTTAGCCAATCAGGTTACAAGAAAAAAGTCATAGGATTAAGAGGGATTAAACAGATATGTTGTAAAGCGAAGTAAAAGTATCAATTTATCTGTTATAATTTTTGCATTTTTTAAAAACTTAAACTACTCGAGCTTTTTTAAAAAAAGTATTAAAAGTATTGTAAAACTTATAAAAAAAAATTGTTTATCAATTGTGTAACAGTCGGGTGACCCGGATAATCATTTCCAAATTTGGGATGTTCTCCCCTGTACTTACGGGGGGGGTATATGAGTCGGGGGGTACCATGACAGCATAATGGAAGTTCGTTTTTATTGGTCGCTGCCTCTGATCATCAGATTGAATATGATTGGTTAACATATCATGTAATACAATATCGTTATACAAAAATAATATGAAAATCGGTAAAGTTGGTAATATGATAACGCCTTAAGTTATTCGTATAACCAAAGTTGATTTTTTGTTAGTACGTTTTTTATATCTAACCAAACCTTTTAAAACTCCTAGATCAAGTTAGATCAAGTATTTTAAGGTAGTTCACTTATATGTGAAAAGTAGCGAAAGTACGAACAAAATTCACCCTAGTTTAAGTTTGCAACAGTAGAATTCTTTCAATTATTAGCATATTAGTGAGAATTTTTTTTTTAGTAATATGTTTTTCAAGTTCTAATATATTTTATAAAACATTTAGATCAAGTTAGATCAAGTATTTTAAGGTGAGTCACTTATAAGCCAAAA